CCCTAGCAGCGGGAGCGGCAGCAGCAGCGGCAGATAGAGATTTATGACGCGGCCTCGGAAATTCTCTCCCTCTTGTCCTCCCGGTCTCGCCTCCTCTTGCACCACCGACCTACAACCGCACCACACGACCTTGGAGAACTTGGAAACAAAGTTAAACGCTCGTCTGCCGTGGCCATTGCCGTTCCCGAAGCCGTAGCCATACCCGCCGAGTCGTAACTCTCTAGTCATAGCCCGGTATCGCGTATACTCGTGAAACGGGGCGACCTGTTCCTTCGCTCTTCGAAATTCGACGTATTTTTTTTTTTTTTTTTTTTTTCCTTTTTTTTCTCGCGGGGAAAAGAAAATATCGGCTCGATACACGTTATCATCTGTACACGTGGAGGGACGACGACAGTGGCGGCAAGCCTGTTGTTGGTCTGTTCGAACAGGACTGACGACCGATCGAACAAACTTTATCGAAGCGAAATGCGACCCTTCCTTCCCTCTTGTTCGCGCCGCTAACCTAACCCAACTTGACTTCCCTCGACCTTTCGCTCGTTACCTTTCCTCACCTTACCTCACCTCGCCTTATCTCCGCTTATCGGTCTTTCAAACTTTTATCATTTTCTTTCTCTCGTTTTTCTTCTTTTTTTTTTCCTTTCTTTCTTTTTCTTTTTTTTTTTTTTACATTGGAAATACTACCGTGGGTGGTTATCTATCGCGTCTCTTAGACTCGAAGTCGAACGTTCGAAACGGGTAGAACGCGTGGAAAAGAATAGGAGAGAAAAAAGGCATTTGCCATGCGTAATCTTGAAACGAGAGCAAACTCGAGTTTGCCGATTTCCCAGGCGTTCGTAAATTTATCCGGAAACTTTCAAAGTCGAAAAAGTTTCGGTTTTCTCCGAGTCGGTTTGACCGACTTAACTCGTTCACCCGAGTTCCGGGAACGGTTCGAGAGAGCAACAGGATCCTCGGCGTTGCGTTTCTCTTTTCTCCTCTCTTTCCATATTTCTCCAACGCGTTACGGGATCGGAGGAAAAAGAGGAAAGGGAATTTGGCGCGCTCGTTCTTCCCTCGTCTCCGATTCGAAAGGAAGTTACGCGAAAAATCGAACGATTCCATCGTCTCCTTATGTACCATCCACACCGAAATTTCTCGAAATTTCGTTGACCCAGATTTTTCCTTCTTGCCCTCGGAATCTGAATGAACGGCTGATTCGAGTTCGCTGCAGGGNAGGAGAGTCAGGTGAAAATCGATGCAACCGAGAGAGCGAGCGAGAGAGCGAGCGAGAGAGCGAGAGAGAGAGAGAGAGAGACTGTGCGTGGGTACCGCGGGAGACCGCGCCTGGAAAATCAATTTTCAGGGTTTTCCAGGACGAAGACCCGTTCACGGAGACCTAGGAAAACCGTCAAGTGTATACCACGGATGCTCCCTTCTCTATCGTTCGGTACCCATCGCTATCCGTCCAACTGCCACAATTTGCGAGCAAGCACGTATAAAATCGGCGTAGACGCGTTTTAACGACGTTTTCCCTTCCCGTAAGGAAGGGAATCCGTGATCTCCGAGGGGGGAGGCGAAAAGTGCCCCCTCCCTCTTTCCTCTCGAGCGAGGAAAGGATCACGAATCGAAGCAAGAAATCGAAGGTCGAAGCAATGGGTGGCCCTCGATCGCCACGACTGAATTTCGCCACGGCTCCGTCCAATAGGGCGCCGAAAGACTCGTCTCCTGTGACCGCGCCTCCTGCACTACGGAACGGAAGGAATCCTTTTTTTCGGCCGGGGAATTTTGAAAAAGATGGGGCACGAAATTGCAGGGGGGTAGTGTAGTAAACGTGCACGGACTGAAAGCTGCTATCGAGCGGATAGGCGTGCGACAACCCCTTCCCTGTCCCTCCCTCCCCCCTCGGCCAGCTCTAGTTCTCCCTTTTTCCTCCCCCTACCTCCTCTCCTCCGCCCTCTCCTGCCTCCCCTTTGGACCGAGCAGCAAGCTGGCAGAAGGGTGGCCGGTGGGTGGAAAAGGGAGGAGGAGGAGGAGGAGGAGGAGGGGGAGGAGGAGGAGGAGGCTGCACGCTTTCCCACACTCACCGGCCAACCCTCCTTCGCCCATCTCGTTTCACCCTCCCTCTCTCTCTCTCTCCTCCACCATGTCCACCCCCTCTCTCTCTATCTATCCATCTCTCTCCTCTCCTAGCTCATTCTCGCTCTCCTCTTCACCCTCACCCTCGAGCACACCGCCCTCATCCTCGCCCTCTTCCCTTCTCGCCCGACACAGCCGCCACTCATTATTGTTCCCACCACCACCACCATCACCACCACCACCACCACCACTACCACCACCACCACCACCTCCACCACCACCACTACCCTAACCTCCGCCACCTTCTATCCTACTTGCACCAACGTCGACAACCATCAACCTCGCATCTCTCTCAGACTCGCGCATTTAACCGGCTTCCCCAATCTTTTCGCAGGTCACTGCTACTCTCCGCGATACTCTTCCACGCGCTGAATACGTCTTCCTTCCTTCCTTTCTTTCCTCCTTTCTCACGGATATTTTTTTCTTCCTTTCTTTCCTTCTTTCTTTCTCTTCTTCTTCTTCTTCTTCTTCTTCTTCTTTTTCTATCTCGAGAAATTGCGCCAAGTTCGTCAAATTTTTCCGCAAACTTTTATTCAGTTCCCGATCTATCACGAATGAAGAAGGGATCGGTGGAAAATCGATAAAGTGGAAAATGGATAGAGAGAAATTTTTCAACGATATATACCATGCGATCGATATACTCGGGAATCGGTTCAATCGGTATGATATTCCATTCGGGAAGAAAGAGTTTTCGCGAACGAAAACTCGAATCAAGTATTTCCCAACTAAGTAAGTAAGTAAAGTAAGTAAGTAAGTAAGTAAGTAAGTAAGTAAGTAAGTAAGTAAGTAAGTAAGTAAGTACGTTGGACGATCGAAGGATGTAGGATGTAACGTAGGAGCAAGAGAGCGGAAGTCGGAACTCTAGTTTTCAAGTTAACGAGCGTCGGAGTCTAGACTTACTTTCTACTTTGCGATACCGCAAAGACGAAAATCGGTCATCGTTATCGATCGACCAAAGTTACGACGATAATTTACTTTACTTTCCAACTCTTCTCTCTTTCTCTCCTCCGTGAAGGAGGAGATAAG